AAAGCAATTCCGCGTTTCGTCTGATGAGTGTGGTGCCGGAGGTCCAATTTTAGTCCCTTTCCCTTTCACCCTTTTCTTAAGAGGAAAGGATGGAAAGGAAAAGTCGATTTGATGCTGGAGGAGACGCATAGGAAGATGATGTCCTCTTTATGTGCGTCTTCTCCTCCGTCAATTATCGGTTTATGGGCAGCGGTCGCTTTCCATTTCGGTGAATTCAGGTGGCCGCTTGCTCGTTTGCTAAAAAAAAAGTCAAACTTATTCTTATAAACTTCTTATAAACTTGGTTTTAATTAAGCCGTATGAGGATGGACATTGTTATATGTAGAATTGAATTATAAAATTACATTTCAGACTATCAAATGTATATTTCAGTAACTGTCGAAATAAAAACAAAATTTTAATGGTTCGTATCAAAAATCTACAATAGAATGCTTTAAAATAGTCTTGTAGTAAATGAGAAGAATATACATAAATGTAAATTGCACAATTCATGGAGGGGCTTTATTCTCATGTTAGAGAGCAGTTCATTTTTAAACAAAGGATATAAAACCGATAGAGAGGGCATCCTGTAGATATCCCATTCTAAACCGTCTGGGCCCCGGTCAATTTGGGATCCAATTACGAGCAGCTTAGTGGAAAAAAATTCCCAAAGCGAGATCCAATTTAAGCGCGTCAAGCGTACTAGTTCAAGAATTTGATTCAGATATAATTTGATACCGAGAATGAGCATTTTGTATAATTAAATTTTAAATGTACCTTATAATGTATTTAATTAGTGAAAATTCTAAACCTTAATCAGTTCGAATTAAATGTTTTTACAAAATTAAAAATGCAACCTAATTAGTTAATAAATAATTTCCTGCTTATATGTAGTGGATTTATTTGTTTCTGTTCAGGTCTATCAGTTGAATATCTTTGGTTTACATTATTCTGTTCAACTTGAGTTTTTAATATTCATTTCTTTTAATCAAGAGTTTAACGATGTTATTCGATATTGTTATTGCCGCGTTTAATTTGTTACATCGCTGCCAAATCGGCTGTGCTCTCCGCTCCGCTTGCAAAATACCTTTTACGATCATATAATGAATATTTGATACAAGCCGTATCGGAAACTGCCAACACAGATATCTCTATATTATAAATGGATGAGAAATGTATTGTTAATCTTTTTCGTTAATTAAATTCGGGGAACACGTTAAAATGCATATTGATGTTTCGTTCATTCTCCTTGTGAAAAGTTAATAAACTTTGATTTGTTTGTTAGCTTGACAAAGAATACAAAAATCCTGTATAAGGGCGCTTTAATCGTCTTCTTAATAACATTAATTTCTAATGTACATAAATAAATTAGTTCCATGATTTTCCGCAATATGTCAAGGATCATATTCCTCGTCATATTGAATTCTTTTTCAAGGTCTTAAATGTGAAAATCGATCAGAAACACACTATAATGATAAAATGTATTACCACATCCAGCATTTGTTTGTAGATCATAGTTCATTTGCGGCGAGTTAACGACTGGTTTACGTAAAGTAATTATTCTGGAGATCTGCCAAATATCGGGATCTGTTCCGAGGGCATCGTTTTCCAATATCTTGTATCGTTATGTCGTGTTTCGATTTTTCGTTGACGAATCATTATATTGGAGGATGAGTTTAATTGGTTATTTGTTTTCATAGATTTGTATCTCTACTGTTATAATTAGCCATGTATGTTAATAATTTTAAAGTGATCTATGTTTACGACTAGCTGTTGCTCGCGACTTCGTCCGTGTGAAATAAAAAATATAAAACGTAGCTTTTTAATGTCGAAAGGGTTTTTGAAATTCGCCCAGTAGTGTTTGAGTTATTCTAATACGTTCAAAAATCTTACCTCTTTATTTCATTAGTGTATTTTTTATTAATTTATTAAGTATTAACTTTTCAAATGACTTATTGAGTTTTTACCAATCCATTTGCAGAAAGTCGCATAGACGGAGCCACATTTTTTTTGTCCACAACATCCAGTTGCTAACTTCAAGCAATCAACTTCGTTCAAATCATTTTTACAATTAACAACTTATACAAATATTAATTTGAAATAGCACCGTTACGGACATCTTATAATTGGATCACACTCAGGGTAATTTTATTAATTTATGTCATGTCGATAACAGTTGCGACTCTGTGCACCAGCGGGTATTGACCCTTTACACTTGGTTAACTGTCTCCACTGTATACGTTGAAGAAGCCCAAGTTAAAGTGGTCGCCTGCCCCACTAAAGTCGTAATTAACACCTGTGTTATACCAAGTTTGTGACGCATAACTTCCTGTGAGGGAAGACAAAACATACTATGTTCAGACACAGATTACTTGATGAAATTCAGTGAAATCTTAGAACAAACAATAACGTCTTACGTGATCTTAAAATTAAATTGTTGTAACTCTTCGTGAAAGTCACGCAATGATTTTATAACGTAATAATGTTTACAACTTTAACAAAGTACACTAACTTAATCCCTTAATATTTCAAGTTCAGATTAACTTAAATCATGTTGAGTATGTATCGTTTGTTATAATTTTCGTTTTAAAGTTTTGACCCGCAGGAATTGTCGTAAAGCCACGATACAATGTGTTTTAAAAGTACATAACCACTACATTAAAAAAAGCAGCACAGTAATACAAGTAACATTCAAGGAAGACAGAAACAATCGCCTCCTTTGACAAAATCAGAAGACCTAACACGATAATTTAAGAGAAAGTATTCGTAAATTCATAGACAAAATTAGTTTACGTCCGACAGTGCTGCACAAATCTAATACTGCTTCGTAAATTTTCGTGCTAGGTACTACTCACTTTTTTAGACTTTTTTCCGCATTAAGCATTGCAGGCGTACTATTTGAATGTTTCAATGACTACTGAGAAGGTTTCCTTAAGTTAAACCAAAAATATCAGTATTTAAATGCTAATAACATGCGTCAAAACTTCCTAGACATGGTATACTCTAAAGTCATCCAAAACAAAATTCCCGTTTCGAGGCAAAAATGGTGAATATTTAAGTCGAGCACCATCAACGTATGTGGTTCACGCCACTTCGCGCTCGTTAAAACTTTGTTAGTTTTGATTAATTACGTCCCACGACGACAGAATGTCAACCGCTCAGAGCGGCTGACTACATTACACTTAGGGTGAGTTGCACCATATCGGCGGTTACCGTTAAAGTTAAAATTATTCGTAACGATAATATTTGGAACAACCTTAAAATTTACTAAGGGTGAGTTACATTAACTAACTATAAACCTTAACCAGCACATTCCCGATGGTTACGTCTACGGATGTTCATGATATTCGATATACCAGTTTTGCGCTGGTCAAAATGACGTCATATTTGACACTAATCATAACCGCCCGATTTTGGGCGGTTATAGTTAGCGTTACGGTTAGTGTCAGTTCGGTAGTGTCAACTGTCACAAGCTCTTATCTTCAAAAGTACAAATAATGGAAAAAGTAATGGAAAAAGAAAATCTCTACTATTATCCTATACGTAATCCAGAAGAATAAAGTCTTGCGTGCTCGGAAATAATGAATTTCCAAGATGGAACTCGAAATTTGGCCAAACATTCAGTTTGGACAAATTTCGAGTGTCAACGGCCATAGCAACAGCGCTTGTCCCTTTTCTCTTATTTAAAAAAATGTCCTCCATAAAAGAACAATTCATAATATGCATTGAGAGGACAATTTATAATATGGAAAATAAATAAGATGCATTTATATTTGTATAATTTTATTGCTTCATTTTTGCTACGTATTTGAGTAGTAAAGTAAATACAGTTTCAATAATGGCTCAAACTAGTTTATTTTCACATTTTCTCCATCTCCGTGGGCAAAAAGTTAATGTCACTATAAAATACTATGCGTATGATACATAAATATAATCGGCGAAACATGAATTTCCAAACATTTTAATTTACGTAAATGTCATTCTTGACACCAACTTGACAATTTAGTGACATTCAGGTTTAAATGTTTCCACTGTAAAAACGAAAAACACATAAAACCTCTGTGAGAATATGTTTTTGCACTTGTAACCCTATTAACTATAACTATAACTTTTACGATAACCGGCGATTCGATGCAACTCACCCTTATAATATGAAATAATTTAAGCGTATTCGTATTAAAACAATCGACAACCGTGTACCAGAAACCAAGGCTACCAACACCATCTTTGTGTAGAATGTTTTATGAAATTAACGGTGCTGTCCCTTATGTTTACCGTTCCAGATTAACTCACATACTATCTGTTAAGAATCGTTTTATAATTTATGTTTAGTTAACTAATAACAAAAGAAAGTTCCTGTTAATTTTCATCTTGAACCAACACGTTGGCAGCTGAATGTTTTCTCCGGCATCAAACACTTTCACCGTACCTTGTATTTATTTTATTTACAGATTCAATACAATATAACGCGCAGTCGGCGGACCAGTCAATTTACGACGATCCTCTCCCGAACGTCCGTTTGATCCCAGGTACGTATCCGGGACCTTCTTTTGCGGTCGGCACAGCGTGAAATTGACTCGTTCGATTGTCTATCCGATGTAAAAAGACTTGTTTGTCGACCGGCTGAACGAAATTACTTCCTTTGCTTCGCTTGTAATAAGTAAACACTGAACGACATTTTCTATTGAATTATGTATCTTATGTGATAGGCGTTTGAAGTTTTTGGTACAATAATATTTATTTGTTCTAAACGCAAATATATTTAAGGTCTTTTTAGGTTCTCATCTCTTTGAAAAGACACCAAAGATTAATATCAAAGGATCTACGACTTAACCTATAGCAAGTTTTATTTTCATAAACATTATTTAAAAAATAAAATAAAAATTTATTATAGAACTAACCTTTCCGAAGTATTTAAAGATTTTTTCTTTAATTCTTTTACCACTAAAAAGGTAAAGCAATAATAATGATTAGTACTGAATGTCAACATTTATTACTCGTATAAAAAACAAAATCTTCGAAAGTTAAATAACACAAGAATCACTATCAATAAGACATTAATATTATTAACACAGTCTTTTGTAGTTTTAAGATAACTGTATTTTCTCCAAATGAATAATAATTTTCTTTAATAGATGTATCCAGATTAAATACTCAAGAAGGGCGGCATCAAGAGGACCCGAAACCAATTGCATGCACACATGAATTTAGATGTCAGGATCGCAGCAAATGGGGGTTGTGATCTCCGCCTACCTCTTTGGGTAATTATTGATTTATGCCTTTTAAAAAATTGCAATTTTAAAATATCGGTCTACAATATCCAGACCAAGTAAGCCTGTAGCCAATAGGACATTGATAAGGGATAGAGATCATATAATTCAATGATTTTGGATCCACACAATTCCCATTGGTATCCTTAACAAGACCTTCTGGACAAATAATTTTTTGTTCAACTTCTTTCTTTACGACGTTATGATTATCGCAATCGCTACATAATTTCCCATGATATTTAGGTTCGATTATTTCCACGTCCGGGTTTATTGTAATCACATCAAAATCGTTATCTCCTGGAGTATTCGATTCCAGTTCCTGTAGTTCAATATTCTTCTCCGTAACTTCGCTTTTACTTGAAGTTGGTACATCTTCAGCTGGCTTTTGAAAGTATTTGTCGTAAATGAAATGTTTATACACATTTAGTACGACGCTGCATATTTTAGTAAGCACATTGTTTTGTGTATTATTTTCTGCAACTTGCTCATTCTCTTCTGGTAGAATTTTCGATAGACCAATTTTATTAACTAAGATATCAGCTAAAATTTCACTCCATGACAAAGATTTTGCTTCTTCATCTGGATCACTTCGAATTGTTGTTTGCAATTTTCGTAGAAAAACTCCATGGTCGGTATCTTGAAGTACGTTTTCGCGTGTTGATAGAAGAGAACCCGTTTTGGTTGCAAGAATAACTATGAGACCGAATACTGCAGTATTCATGTTATCGGCTTTGTCTGATGTCAGTACAATAATGGAACTAACCGTAAAATTGAACTGTACTTGATAATAAAGATAGTGCAGTGCTGTGTACAGTCACTGAGAAGAGACGTATGCGTTTATACAAAAGTAATTAAGAAAACATGCATAAGTTACTAAAATATAGTAGAATATTTAACAGTGGTAAAGCCCGCTTTAACATCTTAGCACGAATGGGCCGGCACGCCCGGTGTAATACCACGACCACACAGAAGACAGGCGTGAAGTGGAAGCAATTCCGCGTTTCGTCTGATGAGTGTGGTGCCGGAGGCCTAATTTTAGTCTCTTTCCAAAGGGAAGAAAGGGTGGAAAGCCACCCTTTTCTTAAGAGGAAAGGATGGGAAGAAAAACTGTTCATTAACTTGTTATCTTTTTCAACGATCAAAGACTTATGGTTTTCATATTATTCGGCAACATTTTACCTATTTCCCTTTTTACGAATTTGTGCGCGACTGTACCACCATATCAAGAATGATAACGAAGGAAAGATAATAAATTAAGCAAACATTTACCATGTGACGTACAGTTTACATCAAAAATGTATTTTTATCTATGGTGAAAACAATCTCTATCAGAATCAAGTGTTACTAAATGTATCAAGGACGTACGTTAACGGTATTTGATATTTTGAAGAGCTATTTGATGTTCAATTTACAGAAATGAATCGATTAGACAACAAAATATACGTGCGCACACTTTTGACTAAACTATTGCGATTGTCGATTGTTCAGCGAAATTCAACTGTTTAGTTGCACAATTAAAATCGAGTGTACGCACCTCCATATAAGCTCACATCAATCAAAGCGAGACTAAAAGGTTGTGCGATAGTTTAGTCAAAGTTGTACGCACGCTCTAAGTTCTAAATTACACCTATATTATTAACTGCGTATTTCAGTTTATGCTTAAGTAAGGTGCTGTCTACATGCCGTTGTAATTCGGACACTGTAAACGTCAATTCAATTTCACGGCTCCTGGTTGCCGCACCGCCGGACAAAGTCCTTTGAGTCCTCACTAGCTTAGAATTGTGGTCACTTCAATGATTTCTTTATACACTTTTATTGGAATTCTCTGATACGTTAATTTAGTTTGTTATTGGATTTTTGATTAGCTTAGTTTTCTTAATCAGTATGAGTTTACCAAATCGTTATTATTTGCCAAGTTACTGAGGTTGCTATCTCTGTTTATTTATAGAAGTAATTAATGTTTAATGTCAATGAACTGCTACTTAGAAATCCCCGGTCATCAAAGAACTATTAAATCAACAGTCAGAATCAAAATCTGTAACAAATCTTACTACGAGTAATATAAATGCGAAAGTAGATAGATGGATGATTGTTAGAGTTTGTAGCCTAAACGGCTAAACGGATCTCGGAAACGTAGAGGAACGTCTGGAATAATACATAGGCTATTCAGTTCTGTTTTTTTAATTCCATGCGGACGGAGTCCCGAGCTAGTGTAAAAATAAAATATACAATACACTTCCAAGAAACAGAACAACACTAAAACTGCCCTAAAACCTAACTACATACGATGTTACAGCGTTTTCATGTCAATCGCAAGTTTGAAAGAAAGTTCTTGTTTGTTTTTAGGCTGTAATATCATAGTGCGTGTCTAAAAAGATGTCACGACGCCCCCAAGGGAAATTAGTTATCTGTCACTCTCAGATGTGGTTATTACGAACACGATGAGCGCTGTGAAAAAGATACCAAATCTAGAATACAAAGTAACCTAAGAGCGTCTCAAAGAATGTAATTGATTTTTATAGAAAACTCTGCTTGGGACATTTTCTAGATGATTTCTGGAACACCTTTTTTGCTTGGACTAATAAACAGCAGAATTTAAGTAAATAATTAACAATGAATATGAGTTATTTTAATACATACAAAAATACAAATTTTTCCTCTTTATAATAAAAGTAAAGAATTATAGATAATATTATTTCAATTCAGGATAATGCAGTCGATATAAATATAATAAACTAGCTTTCGCCCGCGACTCCGTCTGCGTGGAATTAAAAAAAACAAACGTAAGTAGCCTATGTGGTCTTCCAGACTATACTCTACATATTTACCAAATTTCTTCGAGATCTGTTCAGCCGTTTAGGCTACAAACTGTAACAAACATCCATACATCTAAACTTTCGCATTTATAATATTAGTATGAAAATATGATTAACCGGCATTACGGAGTTTAACAAATTGATATTTTATAGTCTTATTTCTGGAACAGTTCGCTCAAAGAAATGGCGCGTTTCATAATATAATCACGTATTCCTATAAAAATATTTACGCCCCTATAGTCAACCCTTCTGACAGCTTTCTTAAAGCCCTATGGATTAAATATAAAATTTTATTAAGGCAACAAATTGACGACGATCGTAAAGAATGGCACTTATTTTTACAAGTTAGTTATATTATATCTACCTCTGATGGCATTGAATATAGGCCAGTATTTACGTTAGTAATTTGATACTTTTATGATTATAGTCTACAGTACAGTTGATTCTATTTTGTTTTTACACCTCAATCTTGGGTTTACACTGTCTTAACGTGTTTGAAAACATGTTGCTTTCTCAAATTGAAAAATAATGAAAGATAAGCGGTAAGGATAGGCGATAATGGAAATATTTCTTCACGCTATAACAATTTAAGAATTCAAATTTAAATGACTAAGAAATAGTATTATAATCTGTTTTATTAGTGTAACACTGTTGCCTGCGACTTCGTCTACGCAATATTAAGATAAAAAAAGCCTTTAATATGCCCCTCTATGCCAGATACCCTTCAGTATAGATCGAGTCGAAGTCGACTCGACCGTTTCGTAGATTACCCGCGACTTGCGGACAGAAAGACAGAAAAAAAAATTGAAATGGGATTTTCGTCATCAACAACGCAAATACATCATCTTCCCGAAATCTGGAATTTTTCTTTTGAAATTACAAACAGACAATACAATTTTACGAGTATGTATAAATTTCATTTTGTTTTAAAAACTAAGTAATAGCGAGAGGAAAAGATGCATTACACACGTATCCAGTGTAAAAAAATAAGAAAACTTCGCAAGCAATTCATCAGGCGAGAGTTGCGTGGTCTGAACAATGGAAACTTTTAATGGGCCCTCGGGGCACAGCGCCCTCTCTGGAGACCGTCCAACATTAAATTCACTGACCATCAAATCAATTATAATTTACTCCGTACATTATTTTAAGCGCTTTAAATCTGTTTTCATTTTAAAAATTCAAGTGAGCGTTAAATTTTTGTATTTAAAAATTTGATAATGCTTTTTGTCCGACTTCCCAAAAGGAGTTCTAAGAAGTTGTTTGAACGATTCTTGCCACCGAGTTTCGTCATCGGACGACACGATAGACCGCTACCATCCTCGCCATCTTGATGGCTGTTATTCCACAACCGTGCGGTTTTCAAGTAAATTTTTGCCCCGCACAGCCGCGTTGTAGTACGGTCTGTCCTCGGCGGTACAAAACAATACTATTTAGGGTCATTCAAGAAACGCCTATCATTTCCTCAAAGGCTGGCAACGCATCTGTAGTTATTCTGGTTTTGCGCGATGTCCATGGGCGTAGTTGACCACCTCCATGTTCTCGCCGCTCATTTGCCCCCTATTACTATTAAAAAGGAGGTACTCAATTTGTCGGTATGTTTTTTGTATTAATGTGGACTTATAACGCATAAACTGATTTCTATGAATTTCTTTAGATTAAAACTATAATTTCGCACACTTTTGTTGATAACGGATGCGCAGAACGGAGACATCGAGATAATAGTTGCGTAAATATTTGCGATATCACGAACGTAAGATTAAAACAAGACAGGATTTAACCGCTATCTGATAACTATGAAAATGAAGAAATCAGTTGAACTGGAAAGATAAGCATTCAAATTGTTGTTAAATTATAGTTCACTTCACTTCTAAATAAGATTGATTAGTTTGATAAATGACGCATATGAAATACCGAATCAAATTTGTATGAAGGCAAATGCCGTACTTAACAGATTGATATCGTAGGGACGAAATAAATGCGCGCAACGAACAACTATGAAATATCGATACTCGGTTTAAATAAAATGTATCCAATTAAACCAAAACTGTAAATCTATACTATTATAATAAAGCGTAAACACACACTTCTTTGTTGCCTAAGATGTCAGCAATTACACCATATTTTTGAATTACTCTTTTTTTAATAAAAAGCCCCACGCTTACGACACGCTTTAAGCTATATATTTTAACGCCATTAAACTTATTGGTAAATATTTTGAATAAAAACCCTAATGTAGGAAAGATACCATAAGTTGCTGCCAACATCAAGGAAGCAAGATTGCCAAGGTTTGTCATGTCGTGTCATTTTGACATTTGCTATTGATAATTTGATCAATGTAAACAAAAAAATATTTTTTTCATAATTTCAAGCGGATGAAGATGCACGGGAACAGCTAGTTAATTAATAATTCCTTAAGGAGAGTATTCTAGTAATACCTAGTGTAGAGAATATAGCGATGACAATAACAATAGCGAAATCCAATTCGATTATGTACGACTGTAGTAGTAATAAATATTTCTTAACCCTCATTCTTTGTATTGGTTCTGTAGGTTATAACTATGTATCTATCTATTCCAACTTCTGTAAGAGTAATAATCGAAAATCAAAAAGATTCGACTTTTACTCTCATTTTACACAACCCATCCCTACTAAATTGTCAAACTAATCAATCTCGTTTAAAATTATTTTGATTAATAAAAGAAAAGAAAATCGTAGGCATTCAGGAACGCACAAAAACAAAAGAATAATTATAAAAAAACAGTAATCCTTACTCAAATTATCAGGAATATTGAAAACCAGAAGCCGAAAACAATAGATGAATAAAAATTACGACTTAAAAGTTTACCTATTTTGTATGGATAAGAAATTAATAATAATAGATTTGCATTTAAATCGAATCAACACGCAGACGTGAAATTCAAAC